GCTTGGCCTGCTGTATTCATCCAGCTCTACACCTTGTTATCTCAGATTCTCCAGCATCTGCAGTTCCTACTTTCTCTGAAGAGTTTATACTAGGTGTGGGAATATGCAATCAGACAGGATTACATAATAACTTCATAGTGAAAGCACCCCTAGGTAACCGTGATCATAATAGGATTGAATATTACATTCCGTTTCAGGGAGAGAAGATTGGATCTAAGACTAAACTTAAATAAGGGCAATTATGAGGGAGCAAATATAGAGCTGCCAGAAGTGAATGAGGAAACTAAATTAAGGGATAGTGCTATAAAGCGGAGGTTGACAATTCCCCCCTGCCCTGAGAACTAAAAACTGAACCACCTAAACAGGAGCGCCTCGCCCTTTAATCTGTAAAAGGAGTGTAAAAAGTGATGTAACCTGCCTTTCAGCAACTTCTAGTGGTTAAATAAATAAACCCCTGACACTCACTTTACAATCAACAAGTAACCATTTATTTACCTAACTCTAACAGTGAACAAATTAACTAAACTATTAACAAACCAAATAAATTCCTTCTAACTATGAACTATTCCGGAATAGAGCAAGAATCTAACGGTATGCTGTTTCAATAAATACAAGTCCCACTTATATATAAAAAAAATTAGTCTCTCAAAATTACAGCCAGGTTACATCTTCCAGAATGCTCTGTGCCTTCTCCATTGATTCTTCTGTCAGGAATATTCACGAGTTGTGCCATGGGTACCTTTGTTCTTTAGATGGTGCTTTCTCTAAGACTTAGAGGAGTCTGTGAGAGCCAGCGATTCTCTCTTGAGAGCTGAGGACTGTTAACTCTGCCACGTTGCAGTTAGCTCTCCTGTCTTTGCCCAACTGCCCCTTCTTTTATACCCTTGATGACATATCATTTTCTTACAATAAGATTGATCCTATGTTGTCAAAGCCATGATATTTAAATTTAATTGGTTTTTGGTATCTAAGTGCCTGGTTCGAATTGATTGGCTAAACTCAAAACTTGTTGTATTGGTAAACACTGCTGATTGGCCTGCTAACTGCATGACTTTTTGACACAAATGTTCCAATTTGGGTGCTCTCTGTGTACTTGCAAACTTTCAAGCTGCTGCTCACAGACTTTTTAAAATTTCTAAGCATAGAAAAAAGACATCATTTTTAAAAGGACCATGCAACGCTTTCTCCCCTAACATTTTACGAACACTAAATTCTAACGTCCTGCCTCCCAATCCACAAGTACTCTGTCAAACTTCTCAACAATAGGTCAATAGAGGTTTAGAGGCTGACATTTAAGGAAATCTTTCAGAATACTGAGAAAAGATACAATTCAATGAGTAAGAAAGGGTCTAAGGGAAAGTTGTACCATTTTGGAAATTAGAGACTGCATCAAATTGAAAGAAAAAGCATGTAATTCCACAATGATAAGCAGCAGGTCAGAAGACTGAACAGGCTACAAAGAACAGCAAAGAATGACTAAAAGGTTAATAAGGACTAAGAAATTAGAATGTGAGAGAAGGCTAACTAAACATAAAAACTGAGAGCAAGAGTTTCTATTGATATTTGAAAAGGGAAAAAGTGAGGAAAGTGTGTATTGATCCTCTAGGGAGTGTTTGGGAATTAATAATGGAAAATAAGGAAAATGATGGAAGAATTGAACAAATATTTTGTGTCTACCTTCATTATGGAGGACACAAATAATATTTCAGAAATAATTATGAAAGAAGAGTGTCAAGTTAGGGAAAGATTTGAAAAAATTAAAATCACCAGGGAATGGGTGCAGAAAAGTTTATTAGGAATAAAAGCTGACAAGTTCCCAGATCCTGATGGACAACATCCTAGCGTTTTCAAAGAAGTGGCTGCTGAGACAGTTGATGCATTGGTTCTAATTTTCTGAAGTACTTGAGATTCTGAAAATACTCCATCTGATTTTTTAAAATTCATTCACAGGATGATGG